AGACAGATCGTGCCATCCGGCAAAGATGGGGTAAATTCATCATTTTCATAAAGCTTTAGGCTTCTGAATTATTAATTTAGCTAAATCCTTCTGGATTATTATATCTCACTTGAAAGTTAGCTGCAAGAGAGAAAGGACGCTTAGGAGTCATGGGTTGGATAGTAGGCTTTCCTAGGTGGGGCAATTCCATAGCATCTACTGTATGTCCAACAGAATAATCAATTCACCCTGAATGTGAGAAGCCGCCGCAGGCCTGTGAAATGTTCAGCCCCACCCTAAAGGACGCTTGCCTCCTCAGCACAGCAGATGGATGAAGCTGGATGTTCCCAGATAACACCCAAAATAGCCATCACTATCTTACCACTTTCTCTGCAGTCCAGGGAGTGTTTAGGTGTGTCTACCCCCCAAGACGGGAAGCGCACGATGTGGGTTCATGACGCCACCTTTTCAAAATGCAAAATGCCAGGTGGAGAGAGGCAACTGTTCAAAGGCAACATGACTAAGAAAGCTACAACAGAGAAAGCAAGGAAAGAGGGAAGGTTGGGAAAGACAGCTAAAAAGGATCATAAAAACTGCCATAGCAGTTTTCGACTCACGAACCACAATTGAGGCCAAATTTCGGTTGCTAAGCAAGACACTGGTTAAGTGAATTTTGCCCCATTTTTACAACCGTTCTTGCCACATTTGTTAAGTGAATCACTGCAGTTGTTAAATCAGTAACATGGTTGTTAAGTGAATCTGGCTTCCCCATTGACTTTGCTTGGCAGAAGGCTACAAAATTGACCCCAGGACACTTCAACTGTCATAAATATGAGTCAGTTGCCAAGCGTCCAAATTTTGATCATGGGGATGTTGCAATGGCCATAAGTGTGAAAAACGGTCATGTCGCTTTTTTTAGTGCCGTTGTAATTTCAAACGATCACCAAATGAAGTGTTGTAAATCGAGGACTATCTGTACTTATTTCAGGAGTATTATTCCTGTAGGAAACTGAAGCTATATGCAGGTTCATACTTCTCCAAAACTGACAGCAAAATACCAGGCCCTGAACAAAAAACTTACAATCTAAATTTCAGTTGCAGAAAAATTAACAAAGTGAATATGAAGAATTGTATTGGATGTAGAGCAATCTCATGATTTAGGAGACTGAAAATTAGAGGAATATATTTTTACAAATCTTGTGTGGCCTAGATCTAAATATCCACAGATTTGCTAGTTTCTACAGAGTAACTACATTCCAAGTGGGAATTGGCTTCAGTATGTTGGAAATATTTTTTTTCCAGCTTTGTATATAAGAATATGTAGCCACAACTAGAGATGTTAGAATTCTTTTTCTTGGTGCCCAACTTAAAGTCAACTAAGCTAATTTGCACTTCCAAGTTTTCATGCAGATTGGAATAGTTATTTTTCATTTTTTTTCATTTTTTAAAATTCTGCCTAGCAGTCCTTGGCTCAAAAAAGCAGTAAAATGTTTACATAATGGAATTATGTGCATAAAATCAGTGTGTTGGTAAACGTTTTGCACACAGACAAATGCACCTTTTCTTGCCTTTTAAAACTATTGCAGGATTGTGCCCAAAATTCACACAACAAACTTTTGAATAGATGCAAAATTGATAAATATTACAACCTAGACCAGTAGTTCCCAACCTTTTTTTGGCCGTGCCCCCCCCCATGACATATAATTCTTACTATTCAAAAAGTGAACTCCTACTCATGCAGAGGAAGCCTAAAAGGCCATTAACTTGGTTTAAACAAGGTTCCAAATAGTCCTCTATTTTACCCATCAGCAATAGTACTACTACAGTCACATTATATTTCAATAATTACTGTAAGTTGCAGCCTTGGTGCTATTGTAGACATATATCTGCTCTACCACTGATGAAATAATCATGGAATGAAGCTAGCAAAAGTAATAAAGGTAATAGCCCAACCAAGTAGCAAGGCAGAAAAATATGCAGTGACACAAACATTAAGAAAGATTCGATCTGATTCTCAAAAGTCCAGCCTATAAGTTCCTGATCAAAACTTCTACTGGTAAATAAGCATGGGCAATGTTGTAGTACACACAATTGGAAACACGGAAGACCTACCTCTATATCTCACTGACTTCAGTGTACTTTGCAAGGTAAACTCAGCAGAGGTATAGGGTTTTTATTGAGGCTTTTTTTTTTACAGGAAAAAAAAAGTGTCTACTGTAACTGTCCATATTTTGCAATGCCAGATTAATCTATTTGTTGCTTCTCCAAAAGAAACACCTAAACACTAGAAAGGTATTTCCATTTAATGCTACTGCTACTGGTTTTCTGCTTTAAAATTTTCTTTTTCAATTATCTGCCATCTGGGTGGTCAAATAATACCAAGGATTTTTTTTTTAACTATTTCATTTATTTAAAACCTTCATCTTATACCAAACTGGGTGGCTTCCAATCAAGAATTAAAACAATGTCAATCAGAAAACAACAACTGTATTAAAACTATTAATACCATAAACATTAAAAACAAAAACCTGGCACCAAGTTAAGCTTCTGACATGCAGACACCTCATCCTATCCCAGCACTTGGGGGGAAAAGCCAAGTCTTCAGTGTTTTTCAATAGGCTGGGAGAGTAGAGCCCTGCCGAACTTCAGGCCTATATGATGGGTGGACAACACTACCCTGGGAATAAAATAACCTCGGCTGAGGACTATCAGGTTCTCTTACACTCTATTATTTTGAATATATAATTCAGTAGTCATGTCAGAATTTATGATTTTAGATTACAATAAGACATCAACTGGGAATTTATCCAAGATGTAGAAATAAGTAGGACTTTGTATTTCCAGAAGCAGCATGGACAGCAATACTGTAGCATGTGTCAAAAAGGCAGAGACGCCTTTCCCATAGGACTTATAAGCAAAATCTTTTACCACCAACCAATTAAAATTTGGTAGGGCTCACACACAGCAGATTTGGGCTATCCTGGATCCCTCGGGATGTCTCTCTATCACACCAACAGTTCTAGAAGCACAGATGTACTTTCAGAGCATGATTAGACCCTGGAAGCAGCATTAACTAAGTCATAAATTGTCCTCGGACTTCAGCCAGATGTTCACCCATGGCCTTCCTCTAACAATCTGCAAGCAACAAATTCACTCTGATCTCAGCTTTCTCTCCTTGTGTGTCCAAAACACTGGAACCAGCAAGTCTCTTACAAAACCCTGAGTGGACAGAGTGAGCTCTTTTTTTTTTCTCCAGCAGAACTTCCCACAAGATTTATTTCTTAGTGCTCCAAATTCCATCTCATTCTTTTCACTGCCCCCCCCATCCCCAATCCATCACTCACAGCAGATTGTTGTTAATGTGAGCTGCAGTCAAGAGGCATCCCCAGCAACCGTATCCCCTTTAGCAGTTCAACAAGTCCACACAGGTCACTCCAGCTGCCAATTCCAGTAGACAGGGGAAATGGATTCTTAATTATTTTTCCAAGCCTGTCATGGAGGGCTTTGTTTCTCTTTTCTCTGTTGTGTCACTAAATGTTGGAGATGAGTCAGCTAAGGGATTCCTTTTCTCTTTCTTTCTTTTTGCTAAATGAACAGAGTAGCTTTTAAAACTGGGGTGGGTGGGTATGAAAGCTCACCCAGCATTAAGAACATTTTCATAAACTACATTAATATCTATGCTAGACATTTAAACAAATGTAGGTATCGCAGCTTTTTCTAAAGAGCCTCAGAAAGTCTAATTTTGTGAGGGCTTGGAAAAGCCCTTTGCAATGTGGGGCCTTTGCTACTAAAGTAATTTCCCTTAATCAGGACACCTGAGCATTAAAAAGTTGTAACCAGTTGCTGTGAAAACATACCTCATGAATCCCATTTATTCCAGAATGAGACACTTGTGAATGTGGTCAGTAAAAGTGAAAGAGAGACAGTTATAAAGGAAAAAGGGTAAGTGTTAATATTCAAATTATCAAACCCAAATTGTGGGAATGAAAAGGACTTTTTAATGATATCTGGGCAGCTTGAAAAATAGGTTTTTGGACTCTCTTGTTTGTGTTTCAACAATTATGTCCTCCCCCTCCCTCCCAATCAGTCCCCAAAGATGTGATCTAAAAACAAGTGTGAGAGGAGGCCAAAATTAACAACTGTAAAACTGTATATTTTAAGACCTGATTTACCCAGCTGAAATTTATCCTGGTTCTAATAATTTAATTTCAACTACAGAATCCATCAGTTTCACCCCACACCAAGTTTTTGAACTTTGACCAGCTTGCATGGAAAAAAAAAGTTTTGTTAAAGAAAAATGCCATTGCTCTTCATATAGAGATAGATAGACTTGAAGTTTCCCAAGTGCCCAGTCTTACGGACTTCACGTCAGCCACTGAGATGTGGAAAGCAAACCAAATTACAAAGTGGAAACCAGGCTCTATTTGGGATTTATCTTGCTACCAATCTGTCATTTTTGCAAACCAATCGGTGATGGGTTTTGTTGCAGCTTCCATCCCTTTTTTTAATTGGGTCTTAAATGCTTCCAAGAATCTTTTTTTTTTTTTTGCACTGTTTAATTCAAACGACTCCTTTCCTCCATCCCCCAAAAAACAGATGGAGAAACGATCTGACACATTTTGTTTTCGCTTGACAAAGAGAACACGAAGAATTCCCAATTTCAGGCACCCACCAGAGGAAACGTCCAAGCTAAAAAGTTATCGCGTTGCTCTAAATGGAGCGTTGTTGAACCGGGAGCCAAACCACCGTCCGGGACTCCTTTTGGCTTGTTTTCTAAAGTTCCTTGAGACGACTCCTTTCTCGCTCAAAAAAAATAAATAAATAAAAATAAAATAAAAAATAAATAAAAAACCCATTTTCCTTCCCCGCATTTTTTTCCCCCTTGGAGTCATCAACGCTACAACCATTCGAACCTGCAGGTTGTCAAAGATGCCTCCAAGGCGAGGCATATATATTTTTTTTTTAACTTCAAAAAGATTTGCCATAATCAGTTGCGAGTTACACGCACACGCAAACCTTACCTTTCCAAAGGGTGAGGCGAGGCGGAATGTTTGGACGGGCATTAGAGATCCTCGTATTCTTTATTGAGGTTCGCTGGCGATCCACTCCTAAGATTTGGCCCCGGTTCCGAAATCCCAAACTTCCCATAAACTTTCTTTCCCCCAAAAAACACAACATCCAAAGGCTGGAAGGGGGAAGCGCTTTTTTTAAGAAAGAAAAAAAAAAAATCAAAAACAAATCACAACTCTCCCAGCAGCTAAATCGAGAGCGCTCTAACCTTTCTCCAAATTCCCCAAACTTTCCACATCTTGGGCTTCCACTTCTTTCGCCTCTATTAAAAAATAAAATCCAAAAACCGGAGTCTGTTGAAAGCCGTTAAAAAGGCGATCGGGGGGTGCCGCTTTCCATGCCTGCACACCCAAGGCATAAGCAGCACGCGTTATAAATATTCGATTCTCCAGCCTGCAACCCGGGACCACCTTGAAGCAGGAAGTTTTGATTTTCTTTCAAAACTTTCCCGATGCTTTCTTGAGCTTTCGCACATGGAGCCAATCAGCCGCAGCGTCTGCGCTTGCTGTCTTTTGAAGGGAGGGCTCTGCTGGGACCGGGGAAACTCGCTGGCGGGAATGGGATGGGATGAGATGAGATGGGATGGAAAGGCAGTTTTGTTTTGTTTTGTTTTTCTTCGCGCGCCCCCCCCCGCACCCGTTCCCGCCCCTTGGAACTTTCAAGCTGTTAAAAGAAGAGGGGTGGGTTTTTTGGGACAGTTTCTAAGTTGTTGGCTGTCTTTTCCTTAAGGTGGGGATCTCTAGCAGCAGGAGAAGAGTAAGCTGAGCCCTGTGTGAGGTTTTAGATGAAGGAGCCCCTCTCCGGCTTAGTTCTCACAGCATGCTGCCTCCGGTGCCAGAGCGCTGTGGAAAACCTGGCCTGGAGTTTTGGCTATTCATGCAGTACGCACGCCGACATGGGCATGTGTGATATGTGACATACGCGGATGCAAACTACTATACATGTTTCTCAAAGGAGTCTGTCTCATTCTCCCCACTCCCACCCACAAGTCTTTCTCTAATAGAGGACCCAAATAGGAAGAAAAGCTTGACTTGGCCCAAATCAAAAACTGTATTTCAGGAAACGTCCCCGAAACTTTTTCAGAAAAATATTGGAACATCCCTTTGCCAAGTCCCCTCCCAAATGAAAGCTCATATCCATGCCCATTTCCTCAGAAGGAGAAAGTTGGCATAAAAATAAATCTTCCATTCATTGCTGGGGGGGGGGAGAGGGGCACAGAGCTCATTTCTGAAGAAACACCAGAGGGAAGAACAAAATGTATTTCAGTGTCTGAGGTAGGGCAATAAATACCCTCTGCCATATAGTTGGTAAATATTTGGGCACCCAAAGCACAATGGCCGACCCTCTTGCCTAGCCCATTTCCTGGGAGTCAAAATACAGCAAGACATTTGATGTTTTCAGTGTGACTTTTTTTACAGCATCCAAAATGGAGGTTGTGAGATAGGCTCCCTCATTCAACATCTCATATAGGGCATGGGCCAATAAGTTACAGTTCAGTCCAATAAAATGAAAGTTCATTTATTATCAGTGACCAGGAAACATATAAAGCCAAAATGCCTTTAGCGGTTTCAAATGAACACCCTAAAATGCTTATTTTTAAATGTAAATATATTAATGATTGATGTTTATTTGTATGTTGCCCGACTCTTGGTGACTTCGACAGCTTAAAGATTGTTATAAACATTTGAAAACAACTCAAAAAGATGCTAAGAAAAATGGCAGAAAAAAGAATTTGTCGGGAAAGGAAAAAAATGGGACACCAGTCATCCTCATCAAAGGCCTGGATGAAGAGTTACTTCAGGGCCCTTTGAAATGGGGCTGTTAGTATCTCAGAGGGAACCCCATTCCAGATGTTTCAAAATAAAAAAGATTTCTTTTGTTTGCTATGTCAGTATTGAAGTTATTATTATATGTCATGGATCTTTTAGTTCAGCATTTCTTGTTCTTTGTTATGGCGTCACAATGAGTTGTAAATAATATTTCAGTTGTTTTATTCTAGATCTGTATTGTAGTTAGTGATAAATACAAAATAAATAAAAGTTCTGCTGTGGTTCAGAATAACGCTCAACATGTTGTGTGGTAACATTCATATTACTCTATGCGCCATAGATATACAATACAGTCAATTGGTGAACTGCGGAAGGGACTGAGCGAAACTTTGCAGCTCTCCTTGAAGCCATCATTGATTTACCAAATAAAGGGAGAAGAAAACAATCTTCTGAATTCCCATGGCAATTGATTAATAAAGATACAATTAAGTCCTTGCATCAGAAACTATAAAAGAAGCACCCAAAGGTGCTTTGTTCAAGAGGCAATTGGACTTTCAGTTTTTTCTTTGAAGATATTTCGCTTCTCATCCAAGAAGCTTCTTCAGTCTTCCCCATCATCCAGTCAGAGCTGAAGAAGCTTCTTAGATGAGAAGAGAAACGTCTTCAAAGGAAAACCAGAAAGTCCAGTTGCCACTTGAAAAGAGCATCTTTAGGACAACCATGACCTGGATGATAGAGAATCTCCATAGATATAAAAGGAGCAATTGAGGACATGGACACTGATTCTCACAGTGGACAGGGATAGAGCTGATCTTGATCAGGGAGACCATTAAACCTCGCTTCTGTGATAAAATGGAAGCACTGTATTGGGTACAGTAGTTCATCTGTATACTTAAGAGGGGGTTGGTTTATTTGAACAGGATTGTATTACTTCTCAAGAATTGTATAGGTAATTTTGGTGTGCTGGCAAAACAGACTGGAGTCTCCCATGCAACCCTTCCCTGAAAGGGATAATTCAGCTCCTTCATTCATATTGGGATAAATCCAATCTATTGCCTTTATATGCCATTTCTAAGAACAATTCAGGAATGAAAGCTAATACAAAATGAAAGTGGCTGGATTACTAAATGAATCCTGGTTTATGATACACATGTCACCCAGTTTAAAACAAGCACTATCCATTTATTACATCTATATGCCACTTTTTCTCCAGCTGGACAGTTCTTTCCGTGTCCATTTTGTTGTCACAACAATCATAAAGTAGGCTAGGCTGAGAAGTAGCAACTTCTCAATTCTCATTCTCATTTCTCATTCTCATCAAATTCATGCTTATACTTATATATATTATCTAATACGTACTCAACAAACAAACAAGCAAACAAACAAACTGAGCCAAAGCCATCCCAAGTGAGCTCCATAGTTAACAGGAATCTGAATCTCAGTCTCCCCGTATTTACTTGAACCTTAATCTAGAGGTATCCAACTTCTTCCATGCAGAGGACTGTATCTGGACTATGAGTTATTGTAGCTGTTTTAGAGTTTTATTTGCTAACAGAATTAAAACTACCTTTGATTTATATGTAATTAAAATGCATGTATTTATGAATCTAATTTTCTGGTTGTTTTCATGTATATCTCACCTTTCTTATCAGATGCTGAAGACAATGTGCCCAGTGTGACTTTTCATTAAATCCTCATGGCAACAATGCTGTGTGGCAAATGGTGATGTGAGAGTCATTGGCTTATATGTATACAAGGGAGAGACATCACAATTTTATGATTTCAACATCATTTACATTATGACGTAATGAGCCATTGTGTTGCCATTTTGGTGTTGTAGTGGCTAGTTAGAGAAACTGTTGCCATTGAGACCCACAAATGAATGGAGATAGATATCCATACAGACATACAGACATATAGATAGATGGACAATCCCTACACACACACCACGCACACATCTTTATAGATCAAACACAAGAATAGAGATATAAACCTGAGCCTACCTGTCCTTAATTCAAAGCTGTAGTCACTATGGGACACTGCTGGTTTTCTTTCCTTTTGCCATACAGAAAAATAAAATCTTGTAGCATTTTTAAAAACTTTCTAAGGAATATATCCACATCTTTTGGGACTCAGACATAGCCTTGGGATCTCAAGGTTATACATTTCTGCTCTAAACAGTATTCCATTATCTGTTGTCAGTTCATATCCCATTGCAAGGTTTCCAAACACAATTTTAACCTTTAAACATTCTAAATAGTCTATAACCAGATCACCCTAAGAACCAGCTCTCTATCACTGACATATCTGTTATTCAGACTTTCATCAGAGTCTCCACCTCACCCTTCTTCTTTGGAAGATAGAAAACCACAACAAAGTCATTTCAGTTGTCATTCTAGAACCAATGGTTTATTTGATGCCCAAAATAGACCTTTTAGGTAAGTTAATCAGTATTCAATTAGGAGGGATAATATATGCTTATGTGTTGGGGGAGGGGGTTTCATGCACCTTTTTTTTTTAATGTTTTGATTCTTTTGTGTTGGGTTTTTTTGCCTTTGTTTGGAGTTTTTTGGAATTTTGCATTTTGTATTTTAACTTTGCCTTGAATAATGTATATGTATTTGTGTATGTGTATGTATGTGTGTGTATGTATGTATGTATCCTTTTAAATTTCAAAGCACCGTTTCCAACCTATTTTAGTGTGTTTTTCAATTGCTCTGTTTTTATTTTGATGCTTTGTATCTATTGCTATATGTTAATTTTTCAGGTTAACCAGCCTACTGAGATATGAATTTTAAAGGGGGTGGATAGTACAAGTAGTGACACTGAAATACCAGTCCACTCCAGTGATTGATTATGTGCCATCAAATCATTTTCAACTTCTAGGGAGTACATAGATAACTTTTCTCCATGGCAATGTATCCCTAACCTGTTCTTTCAGGTATTCCAGTTGTTCACTATTCCCCTTCCAAAAAAGTACAATAATGGAAGGACATGATTGGGAACTTAGCATAAGACAGCTAAGAACTCCTGGAAATAACTTCTTCCAGATTCTCTTCTATGTAACAGTAGCACTGGAAATAAGATTGGCTTAACATAGCATCCAGAATGCAAATAAAAGAATTACATGTATAAGTGGTGTTTGTAAACTTTAATGGTTTGTTCTTTAAAAAATTGGAAGCTGTCAATTAAATGACTTATGTTTCATATATTTTAACATAAAATATATTATGATTACATTTTAAAAGTATATTTTAACATAAAGAACATCAAGTAAAGATCTGTAGTTGGTTAAAATATATGAAACATATTTTCATGTATTTCAACCACCTACAGACCTCCTACTTGCTCTTCATATGAAAATATCTCACTCCCCTGACTCTTGTTTTGGTTTTCGTGGTTATTTCTTGCCATATAAAATTCAGACTCCTCTTTCTCCTGTTTATTGATCCATTTCATTTGCCAGCTTAGTTGATTACATCCTAAATTGTTGTTTTTTAAAAAAATCTGCTATGTTATATCTAGCAATGATCATTCGTATCACTAAGAAGCTCAGGCATGAAGGAGATGACTATCATTCCCTAATTTTCTCTCATCTTTCGTAAGCAGAAAATATCCCTTATGAATATAGATATGTGATTATTATTTACATCCCAGTTCTCACCTATGAGTTCAAGGCGGTATGCCCAGTTTCCCAACATTTTATCCTTCTATAACATCCACAAAGGCAAGTTAGGCTGATGAGCAACAACTAACCACTCTGTAATTTTGACCGGGGGAGAGGGGGCTATACCTCTATGAAAAGGAGGATTTCTGCCAAAATTTGGTAGAATTTGGAACTCCATATCTCCTGGAGCTAAATATGCTAG